TACTGTGTCCTTTGCTGTGCAGAAACTTCTTAGTCTAATATAGTCTCACTTGTGTATTTTAGGGATTATTGCCTGTGCTTTGGGAGTCTTATTTAAGAAGTCTTTGCCTACTCCAATGTCTCCCAGAGTTTCCCCAGCATTTTCCACCAGTAGTTTTATTGTTTGAGGTCTTAGGTTCAGATCTTTGATCCATTTTGAGTTGACTGTTGTTAATGGTGAAAGATGGGGGTTCAGTTTCATCTTTCTGCAGGTGGATACCCAGTTTTTCCAGCACCATTTACTAAAGAGGTTTTCCTTTTCCCAATGGATTGACTGATATCCTTTGTCAAAGATCAGTTGGCTGTAAGCTTTGGGGGTTATTTCTGGGGTCTCTAGTCTCTTCCAGTGGTCCATATGTCTGTTTTTATGCCAATACCATGGTGTTCTGATGACCACAGCTTTATAGTATATCTTGGGATCAGGGAGTGAAGATTTGTTCTGTTTGTTTTTGACTTACAAAAAAAGGATAATGACTAGAGAGAAAAACATTTCCAGTGGAATTTGTTAAGAAAACAATAAAGAGCACAAGAGGGACACACACAAACACACATACACACTTGTCTATGGTGGTAATGAAATTGGCAGGCCTATCAATTATGAATCATGGAACCAAAGGAAGAGTGTATTTGTTGGGGGTGGGCAATCATGGGGATGGTGGGGATCACTGAGTGCACACGGCCTTCCAGAAAGGCACAAAGCTACAAGAGTGGACAAGAATAATCACTTTGGTCAGTCCTTTCTTGCAGTCCACCTCATGTCACTCACTGTCAAGCCAGGTAAGTGCAGTTGATCAGTTATTACCCAGAGTCAGAACAATTAAATACTAGTTATTCTTGGGGCCGACAGGTGGCATAGTGGTTAAGGTTCTGGACTCCCACATGGCTGACCGCAGTTCAAGACCAGAGCCTAGTGGCTTGCTTTCTCCCTTTCCCTTTCTCTCTCTCTGTCTCTGTCTCTGATCAACTGAAAAATACATAATAACAACAAATAAAATTAAATAATTTTAAAAAAATACTAGTTATTCTAAACCTCCGGAAGTACTTATACTCTCAAACCAAGACTGGGAAGATTGGGAATTTCAGAATTACCAGTAACGATAGAAAGAGAGCTGAGATTCTGGCTCACGTTCTCTGACACACCCCATCTCAGAACAGCCTGCGTTAAGTCCGTCCATTTTCACAAGCAAGCAAATCTTTTCCAAGTGGATGTCCCCATGCAGAGGACCCATCTCTTCACTTTATTTCCTCAGTTTCCATCCTTTAGACTTTTAAAAACCTTCAGATGCCTTAGGGAAGACAGCTCCTGATCTGGACCTTTGCTGTACCTCCACGCTACCTAATTAAGGATTCTATTTTATTAGAAAGCCAAAGGTGGCTGCTGTTTATGCCTCCCAGTGCAGCTATGAGGCATTACAAGCCAGAATGCATGCTGTTCCTCTTTCTCACAGGCAGTCACAGACCCGATGCCCTGAGAACCTTCTGAGGACAGTTTTGTACTTCTGTATCAAATACAGAAAAATAAATCTTAATTGCATACTTCCTATATGCCAAGCACTTTATAGGGATATCCAGTAAGACCCTCATAGAACCCATCTCTGCTGAGTCACTGAGATTATTTTCATCCCATCATTTAAATGAGTAAACTGAGGCACCACTCCACTGGGTTTACTTTTTTTTTCAAGTTTTTTATAAAAGTAGACTCATACATGGGAGTGAGAGGCTGTCATACCTCATGTCTCATGTTCTGGTTTAGAAAATACAGTCATCATATCTTGATTAGAGAAGCAGAGAATTTCAGCCTTCAGGGAACACTTTCCTCTATAAGGCATATTACATAATCTGTGTTTCCAAATTTACAGCACTCTTGACAGATTTTTAAGAGAGGATATGAAGAAGTTGAAAAATGTTTCAATTTTTGGATTCTCTTATCTGAAGTAAATTTGGAGGATTCACGGTTTAAAAGCATAACTAGCACTGGTGACTGAGGTCTCTTCTACTTTTGAAATATGCATTTTAATTTTTCCTTGGTGTCTATAAATGGTAAAAAAAAAATATACGGGGACTGATCACTTTTTTTTTTTTTTTTTTTTTTTGGGGGGGTTTTTTTTTTTAGGGGGCGGGGGCT